ATAAAGCATAATATAATATCCAAACTTGGCTCGATGAATTTACCCCTTGAAACTATAGTTGGGCAAAGTTATGATGGCGCCTCAAACATGAGTGGAAGAATCAATGGTGTGCAAGCCTTGATTAGAGCAGAGGCGCCAAAGGCAGCTTTTATTTGGTGTTATTGTCATCGATTAAATTTAATCGTTGTTCAATTATGCCAATCAATTAAAAAACTTCGAAATGTTCTAGGAATACTAGATGAGATTTATGTCTATTTTAATGGTGTAAAAAGATATGAGATACTCAAAAAATTTCAGTGTAATGATCTGAAAAAATCGCAACGATTTCTACGCGAAGAATACCACTCGGTAATAGTTCCTTATTTATTTAAATTTTAAATATTTTTTTTATTTAGAAGCTGGCTATCGTCATATAAAGCTATTGTATTTTTTTCAACTTTATGATGCCTTGAGGGCAGCTTTAACAAATTTAAAGGATTCTGAAGATCCTGCCACTTCCACTATGGCAAGTGCTATAGTCTTTAGAATAGAAAAATTTGATTTTGTCTTATCACTTTGTATTTTGGATAAAATATTGTTGATAAAAAGTTTAGCTTGTACAACAAACCATTTCGAAGGATATAGGGTATGCAATAAATCAAATTCAATTGGCAAAAGATTGCTTGATTAATTTGAGAAGTATAATATAAATTATTGTCTTAATTATTTTTTAATCTAATAGATAATAACACTGAATTTTTGGATGTTTTTTCAAAGGCGTAAGATTTTATGAACGAGAGAAATCTACCTTTTGATTTTGAAAGTTCTAGACTTCAAACATTACAATCCAAAAAGGAGAGGTATATATACTTTCATCATTAAATATAGAAATTTTTTTTAGCTTTAAAATAGGTGTGTTTTATGCTGCACTCGATTTAATTATTATGCAGTTTAACGAAAGATTTAATGATGATTCAATGAAATTTTTACATCAAACATCTTTTTTTACGCCAATAGGAATGGCAGAAAAATCAATTATTAAAGAAGATATCAAGGATATCTGTGAATTTTACAATTTAAATTCAAGTCAAATTTTCGAAGAAATGTTGAAGTTTAGATATATTTATAAGATGGCCAAAATGGGGAATGTAATTATTACTCATGACCTAGAGGTTCAAGAATCTAAAGATTTGTCAGATTCTGAGAATTGTAAATTTATTTAATTAAAATATTTTTACCAATACATTATTTAGCTTCTTCTGATGATGATGATTACGATTCAGATTGGAATAAATATTCATTTATTTTACCTTATCGTTTACTTTTAAATTTTTCTGCTTTCCCTAATTTAAGAATTTTATATAAATATTTATTAACCATTCCCACAACCTCATGTACTGCCGAAAGAGTCATGAGTAAAATTAAATTAATTAAAACAGACTGCGCAGTACCATGAAAAATTCTTTTCTCAATAATTTAACCATATTATCAATGGAAAATATTTTATTTAAACAATTAAATACTGATGAAATTATAAATTCTTTCGCTTTCTCTTCCCCTAATTTATCTAAATTATTAATTTAAAAATAATATTTATAAAGTTATATTTTTTGCATTTTATTTATATTATATATTAAAAATTGATGCAATAAAAATTATTTTTGAAATTTATGGGTGTCATAATTATCATTTTTTCGAAGGGGAGGGGGATACTTTTCAAGGGGGTACTTTTCATGGGGGTATTCTGCTTCATTCGCTCCTGTAATAATCTGAATTATATTATATTGTCAATGACAATAGATATATATGGAAATCTTTGTTTGCTATATTTAATTCATTTTAAATAATGGATCTTATTATCAGGCTAATATTAATTTATGGGAAATAAACGTTCATATCAGATTGATTAAATATAATTAGAATTTAATCAAATAATATATCAATCGCGTATATATATATATATTTATATAAACAATATATATATATATATGAAGATTTAATTTGCAAGATTTATTTTATCTGATATTATATTAAAATTGAAATGTATTATGAAAAATTACATTGATTAATTTAATAATAATTATTATTTTATATATTAAATTTATTAAATATTATATTTTAACCTGTAATAATTATTACTTTTCTTGATGACATATCATTTTCATATATTTTATTGCTTCTTCATAATCCTTTATGGTGAAAATTTTCCTATTTGGAATTTTTATATATTTGAGTACCTTATTAATATTATAAAAATTAATTGATCTATTGAGCCGACAAGCCATGATTCTTCAAATCCCAAAGGTGATAATATTACTAATATGATCTTAACATATATTTAAGCCTTATATATCAATCTGAAACTTTCCTAAATATTAAAATAGAGTTTTAACTTTCATATATTGTCTATTTTGTCATATTTTAACTTCTTTTTAATACAAATTGTGAAGTGAAAATATTGTAATTTTCATGTCAGAAACATGTCATAACAGATAAAATTAAAATGGCTAAATAATATAAATAATATTTTAGAACAAAATTTTAATTTATATTATTTTTAAAATAAAATTCACTGAACCGACAGGTACCTTTTGCCGACTATCCCTGGTTTTCCCTAGTAATTAACGAAAATTTATTATATTTTGCCTCTAATTATATTCTATTTTTAGGATGACAGTCATTCATAATTTGGATCCATAATTTGTTTAAATATGACATTAATAATGACTATACGATAAATTTTAAACCTAAAAAAGATATAAAATATGCAAAATAGCACCAAAATTTAATACTATGCAAAAGAATATTTTTAAAACAGTAAAAAAAAATAACAGAAAAGCACACAAAATGATAGAAGAGCAAGCTAAATGACACAAATAATTGTTACCACGGAGCAGGAAAGCAAAATTAAATAAATTTTATGAAAATATCTTTATTTGACATCAAGGACTAGCAAATCATTTAATGAATTTAGTTTTAAAAATATAACCTTACATAAGATACATTAATAATAATATAATTTTCTAAGAAAAAGCTATTTATAATTTTTAGTTTCACGCCATTTGTCTATAATAAAATGCATGGGGAAAAACTTTACTTTTGTTAGACTTGATTATCCACTCTAATAATTTGAGATTCAGAGAATAATATATCATAATAATATTAATTCATTCTTGGGCTGTTAAAAAAATATATTTTTCCCATTATGTACTTTCTTTTCCATTATATTTTTCTATATGTTTCCGTTGTGAAAAAATAACTTGCCTTAGAAAATTCTTTAATTTAATTACTCATTCTTTCACTAATTAAATTTGCTCTACCTTAATATTTTATTTGGTACATTTTTATCAAATAAATATTAAGATTCGCCACAGTATAAACTTATTCATGGAACCTCGTATTACTTCATATGTGTAGGTATCACAAAAAACCTGGACTTCTAGAGCAGGAATAGTCTTATATGCTCAAGTAGCTAAGATCCAGAGACCTTTGGCTTTAACATAATAATAAGTCTCAATATGATAACTGCTTCATCCGCAATAATCTAATTTTTATAAATAAATGCTAGTCTTCAGCTAGGCTTAGCAACAATTATTTGGTAAAGTGAAATCTTATATCATATATATTAACTGCGTTTTTTATTTTGGCCTATAGTATAAATTTAATCCTATAATAACAATAACCAAAATATAAAAGAAGTGGATAATATTATTTACACAACAATCATCCTTTTTTTTCCTAGCCCTAATTTTTTTAAAAAAAATATTGATAATAGAAATTAACTAACTGTAAAATTTAATTTCTATTCTAAAAAAAGACAGCAATTACTTTTTTTACGCATTCTTTTAGAAACTCACAAAATATAAACACAGAGCGTTAAATTTTACTTTGAAAATTGAATATAAATGGTTTGAGTGAACTATTTTGACTCATGGTGGTATATGCCACCAAAAATATGGGAAGTAATGTTACTTATTTACCTATCACAAATAGTTAATGATAAACATAGCCTGGGTTATAATGTAAATCTAAGTTAATCAATTTATGTGAAACGTATCACTATTTTTAATGAGTCCTTTAAACTTAATAGGATCAATTAGATAATTGTTCTCTTAACCCGAGTGGAAAATCTCGCCCTTACATTGTCTTCCCACGCCAAAGATAATTTAAGTGTTGCTAACTCACATATTTGATTTTTATAATATTATTACTTATTATAGTTTCGTAAAATTGAGAACCTAAATTAATACATAAATAATTTATATAATAATGAGTCTAATTAACTAGTTTATTTATGATAGTATTTCACGCAATGCAAAACTCTAACTTAAGTGTTTAGTTTTAATTTAAATCTGTCAAACTTTTTTAAAAGGATCAATAACCCTAATCAAGGGAACATAGAAGGTTTAATACAACAATTAGATATGATTATTGAACTATTATCTAGAAGTATTAAAGGAAAATTAAATCTAATAAAAATTAGACGGGAGAGGGGGGGGGAGTATATTACAAATAATATTAACTAAGGATTTTTTGAAAAAAATAGAAGTAGCATTAATCTAAACAATTTACGAGAGAAGGGCAGCCGGCAGAGTAAAATAAGAGATTATGAGAGAGACGGACAAATCTTTATAAATCGCAACAGTAGACTGTGTTTCTAAGGTGAGGAAAAATTTCTATAATCAGCTAGAGATAGAAGTTCTAGCTTGTTCAAAAATTGAATTAACCCGTCATTTTTATGTGAATTACTATCTAGCGGTACCTTCTTGAGAGAAAGCAATTTGTAGGAAACATGCCTAGATTTACCAATCATCCCCCCTCCCCCTCCCCCATTCTTATAATCATTTAACAATTTATTTAGTCATTACCTCCATAGGAATCTATTCCAAAAGATACAAGGAGTTAAATTTCTCCTCTCTCCTCATCCCCCCCCCCCCCATTTAGATGTTGAAAGCCTTACAGTTTTTACTGTTATTATTCAAGCACATTATATATGTTTTTATTTTCACCTTTGGCGCTATAATAACATAATTTCTAGTAAACCAAATAGGATTACATTATATTTGGATAATTATTTTCGTAATTCAAACTTATTAAGTTTCTTGCTTTTAACATAAATTAAATATAAGTATATAAGTTTACAACAAATAAATTTACAATAAAATATTTGTCAATTGACAATGAATCAATTTTTGCTCTCGTATCCTTCTTTCATCTTTATTATCATGAGATTTAAGATAAGATCCCAAGCCGATTGAACTTCCGGCGTAAATTCATCCCCTATCTCTTTTTTCCACACTTCCATTATGCAGTCCTTAAAAAGAATCCAGTATTCAGGTTTAAATCCTGGAAACTTTTGATGCAATTTACCCAATGCTTCCATAACGGTCGTTACCGATTTTAAATCTTGCAAATTTTCTACCAAAGAACGAATCGAGAATATGAATCTCTTGGAATGGGCCCGAAAAATTGGATCTTTTACAATATCCTCCAAGTTTTTCTCGCCGAACGAAGGAAATATATTCTTGATTGCCGGGTTACGTTTAAAAATGAGCAAAAATACTTCGATTCCTATATTTTGCGGACTTCTTATGATGCATCCCCAAGTTCTCCTTATAGCCTTACACTCTTGTTGAGTGAAACTTATAAGTCCGGAGTTAAGTGTATCACTAATATCTTGTTTATTTGAGACTGCTTGAGCTTGAAGGGAGTCATGATGGCCGTGTTTGTGAGGGTTCGATAAGCTTAGTTCATCTGATAACCTTTCTAAAAACACGGGTAATCGCACGTGGAGAGGGTTCCAGTTAAATTTATAGTGGGGTCCGTTTTTGTCAAGGGATGGATCCGATGGTGAATTATGACCATTAATAGAATCTCTTTCAATTGTCTCGATAGTTTTTGGTTGGTGGGAAACGTTATCATCATTTTTTAGAACATTGTTTATACCGCAAATGTTAGGGGAGGACGCAAAAGTGTGGGTACCACCGTTTTGATGTGCATATCCCATTTGATTTCCCATACTAGCACTAAAATAAATATAATATAAATAAAAATTTTGCATGTTGATAAGAAAATTGAAATACAGTTGTTTTATTAGTTTTTCCCAGGGATCTGAAACTTCCGGCTAAAAACTTATGTTCCCTTTCCTTTCTGTTCAACATTTGGAAACGTATTTTCTAAAAAAAAATCAATATTTATATTTTATTAATATACGATTTTAATTTATTCTTATAATAAATATCAGTTATCAGATGTATAAGTAGCAATTTGAGAAATTCTATACCGTTCCAAGTCCCTGGTTGTTAATTAATTATTTAATTATGTTGGACATTTTTATATTTCTACGTATTCTATTTTCCAGATTTTTCTTAAAAAATGTAATCTGATCTCAAAAACAAATGGTAAATTTCAGACAATTTCGACATTAACTTTTTGAGTATTTATTTTATTTTATTTTTTATGAAATATTAATATAAATAAATAGTAATTCAAAAGTCACGGCAAAAGTGTCTTAAATTCACAGTGTGGGAACTATATACATGGTAGATTGAATGACTTAAAATCGAGGATTCTATGCTATACCAATGGCATATAATAATACCTAGACAGACTATGCATTCATGAAAAGTGTATATATAATTGAAAAACAGATGAGGAATTATGAGGTCATTTTGGTTACGCATATCATATTTTTCTAAAAAAATTAATTTTAATGTAAGCGAAATAAATTAATATCCTAACTCACAATTATTCCGAGGCTAGCTTCACAAGAAATTATAAATTTAGAAGAACAAATTTAAATAATTTATAAGATACCAAAAGGCATGTCACGTGGTCTCCAGCTGATTTGCATTCAACGACGCTTAAAAAATGCTTTATGAATAAATCGGTCAGTCTAGATATTAATATATGTCATTGCTCACTACCACTTATAAAAAAAATTGTCAAATTCATTATCATTATTTATTAGGTAACTATTATAATATTGTATTTCACATTTAGCAATGATTATAATTATGATCCGGTCCGTATTTTAATTTTTTAACCGAGCCCGGCCTAAAAAAATTCTTTAAATACCCGGGCCGGGCCGAATATTTTAAAACCAAATATTTTAAATCGCCGTTATTAATAAAAATTAAATATAAATATAATATATTTTTAAAAAAATCCGGGCCGGGCCTAAAAATATAAAATCTGGGCCGCGCTAAGCCGAAAAAAAGACTTTTTTAAAAAAAATAAAATCCGGGCTGGGCCCTGTAAATGGTACCTCTGAAGGTCTCTGATATATATATATTTCAAAATTTTTTTTAATAACGACTCTTTATTTTTCAAAATTAAAATTATTAAATATTTAAATAATTATTTTTCCGAAAAAGATTATAACTATTTTTCTGAAATTTATAAAACTACAATTCGCTTATCTAAAAAAACATAACATAACAACCATAGTTATAGCTAGTGATGCATATAGCCTCATTTTAGCCAATTTTTAAAAATGCGAACACAGTATTCTATTCAGAAAAATATTGCTAAGCCTGAAGATTTTGCTCATTAGATGGCACAAAGGTTTGGACAACTATTAGCGAAATCTTTTGGAAAACATTTTTCTGGCTAAAATATTGGGTTATCCCTTTTTAAAAATCGCTTCAAGTAGAGAGATTTTACATCACTAGTTATAGCCATAATTTCCTAAAGTTAGATGAGGTTTTTTTTCTCCTATGATTTATGATAAGCGGAAAATAATTCCCTGGCAAAATAATCCTTAGATTCTTTTTTTTTCAGAGTTATTTTCAATAATTTTAATAAAAAAAGAAGTTATTTGAGGAATTTTTTTCCCATGGAATTTTTTCCCGTGATTCATATTTTACTTGAGCAATTATTATTGCTTTATAAAATCCTTTAAAATATCAAATAATTTAATGTCATTATATAAAAAAAATATATTAACTTACGTTTTTGTTAAATATAGTTATTTTATGAAAACTTTAAAATTGATAAGGAAACTGCTCCCCTTAGCTACGCCTAGGGTTTCCCAAATAATAACTGTATATTATATGAATAAAAATGTCAAAATATTTTACCCAAAACATTTTAATTAAATAATTATTCTTAATAAAAATTCCATCGGTTTTTTTGTAACGAAAATTATACAAATAAAACAATTAATAAAAGCTATAAATTAGAGATGATATAAAATTAAAAATCAATTTTAACTAATAAAACATATAGAAACCATATAAATTCGGGATGCTATAAATAAATTAAAGAGGAAATACTTAAAAAATAAAGTATAATAAGAAATAAAAAAAATGGGTTTGCTTAGATATCTGTTAATAACTTATTATATCAGTGAAAAACATTTCACTAATAATATTAATAGAATCTGGTTTAATATCATTCTTTAAGACTTATCCTAAAAAATTTAGATTTGAATAGTTAGTCATTTTAGTATCGAATTCCCAGCTATAGCTTAGTAGGGTTCATATAAATTATAAATATTATTGTATATAGTTATTTGTTATATCAAATTATAAATATTAATATGTTTTTTAAAAAATATATACAGGATAGAGAAAACTTTTTTAAAATAAGAATATGTTTTTATAAGATTTCCCATTCAAAAAGGGATAGTCCCGATCAAAAAAAGGAAAAGGTCGGATCAAAAAGAATGACTAGTCGTATTAAAAAAAATTTCGATCAAAAAAGGAAAATGTCCACTCAAAAAAATGTCCTGATCAAAAAAGAAAAAATCTCATAAGAAAAGGAAAAAGTTTAATCAAAATATAATATCCCATTCAAACAAGTAAAATTTCAACAAACGTAAAATTTTCTCTTGAACTATGGATTAGCTGGATGGGAAACTGTTTTGCAGGCACGTATCTGGGAAGGGGGGAGCAGGAAGAGGAATCCCTTCCTCTCCTCCATAACGATTTTTTTTTGCAAAGTGTCAAAATCAATTTATTTCTTCCTTGTGTATTAATACTTTAATCACGTGAACACTTAAAATATCATTTTTTTAAACCTTAACAAAAAAAATTCTGTTTAATTTATTTCTACTACTAACTATGATTAGATAAAATTTCTAGATGAAATTTTCAAATTTTCAAAGAGGAAAAATTTACTGCTGAATATAATTATTTCTTGAATTTAGGATAGAGGAGAAGATAGATAAAACGATACTCATCTAAAATAAATTTTTCCCTTAAAAAGTGTATCATATTTTTAAATATTGAGTGCATCTTTGTTACTTTATATTTGATTAAATAAAACCTAATATAATGATTAGTTGAATAATAAATTTGAATAAAATTTAGTAGAAATATTTTCTAAGGATTGAAAAAATCGAAATAGGAAATATGATAAGTGAATGAATGTGATATATTTTTCTTTTCTATGATGCACAATTTTCAAATATATATTATTTATTTTAATTTTTATAGATAATAATGGCTATTTAAAATATTCGGCCCGACCCGGATTATTTTCAAAAAATATTTTGAGCCCCCAACCCCGGGTAAAAAATAAATCTGGCCCGGATAAATTTCAAAAAAATAGCCCGGATTATGTACCCTAACTTGCAGATCTCTGGTTTAAATATCAAATTTTGACGGGTTATTAACTAGTTTCCTTATAATTATGATATAAGAAACAATAAATACTATTAATCATTTATCCCCCTCCTACATTTTGGCATATAGGTCTCCTTTCCTTTTTTGATAGAATCTTTTCTTTTTCTTGTGGGAGTTTTCCTTCTTTTGATATGGACTTTTACCTTTTTGATCGAACTTTATCCCTTTTGATTGATCCTTTTATAATAGGACCTTTTCCTAAGTAGGTGGTTTCATTTTTTGAGTGAATTATTTCCTTTTTTGATTAAACCTGTTTATTCTCTTGTTTAAAATTTTTCATTTTTTTTATCTTAGACCTTTCCTTTTTTTTCAATGGTAAACCCTGGTATACGCTCTTATAATTAAAGATCATATTAAAATTAAAATATCGATTTATAAAAGATGATATATGATTTCCCTAGATTTTTATAATATCTTACCTAATAATATTAAAAAAATATATTAATTTAATTAAATACTTTAATATTATGATTTTGAAAGGCCATTATTAATACATTAATGTTCACTCAAGTGAGAAAATAGTGATAATTATTTTATATAAATAATTTTAAAAAAATCAAATAGCACAATATACCTACCTATTCTATTAAATCATTAAATATATGGGACATGATATTTTACTAAAATCTTTTTTTAAAAGCATTCAAAAAGTTTAAAAACTTTCAAAAATTTTGATATTTTGGGCACTGCCTTAAAATAATTTTTTGGGCCAATATTACATAATGTTTCAGAATATGCCGTGTCATATAAGATAACCTAGTTTAAAACAACAGTCTTAATTTACTACAATTTCAAATAGAATTTCTCCTCATTAATATATTTCTAATTTATCAACTTATGAAAAAGAGAATCCTTAAAGGGTTAGGGAAAATCCCAAAAATTGCTTCAACATTGAAATGCGTTATCGAAGGTTAGAATAAAGAGATAAAATCTATTTGATATTTAAAACAAACATCAAACATTATTTTAGGTTAAAAAAATATATAGTATTATATATAATTTAATATAATTTTTTCAAAACTTTTTGCATTAGAAATGAATTCTAATCTAATAAATCCAAATATCGAGGGAATTAGCCTTGCTCAAAAATTGCAAAACAGCTTTATTAATAATCCCTAATGTATACATGATATAGTATGCGGCTTTTCCTTATGTATATATATATATATACCTGCAACTTGTGAAATTTATTAATTTAGTATGAAATGTAGAACAAATAAGAAATATAATTCATTTTATGTCATCCCTAAGGATTTACGTATCAAAGATATTATAACAGATATTTTTCTATTTATCAATAAAAAAAATTTTTTCTCATGTTAGTTTTAATGTATTAAATTCTTAAGATACTATTCGAATTATTAATTTTACTCAAAAAATTAGAGATATTAATTTTTATTGTCAAGTTTTTAAAATTACATTTGGTGAAAACTGATTTCGGGTTTTAGTAAAACTTTTGTTTATTTCTTATTATATCATACCATAACAAGTGTATCGAAAGATCAGTAATGTTTTTGGATTTTAAATAAAAATGATAACTCATTAATATAATTATACTTATTTATGAATAAATGTAGGATACAATCTTACTTTAATAAACCATACCTTCTATTTTACTTTAGAATTTTTTCTTAATTTGCCTTCTGTTCTTTTTTTTTGTTAAAAGTTAAAGTTTT